AGTCTCAGAGGGACCAAGGCCCTGCCGACACCTAGATTTTGGACTTCTGGCCTTCAGAACTGTGACAATAAATTTCTGTTGTTTTAAGGCACACAATTCATGGTGCTTTGTTATGGCAGCCCTAGCAAACCAATACAATCAATATGCACTCACATATATTTATTTTATACCTTCAGTTATAATCCAATACTAAGTAATTTATTTTGTTGCTCGAATTGTTTCAGCCTTGGCCATTGGGAGCTCTTTTTGGTTGGTTCCTTTGTTCCTTTGATATGCCCCCATCCTTTTGTTTTTTGAGCAGTTCCTTACTTTCTAGTACTACAAGATGCTCTAGATCATCTTGTATTTTCCCTGCCCCAGCCCCAGAACTGGCTATTTCTCCAAGGAATGGAGAAACATTCACCCTTTTATTAGAGAATGGTACTTAGAAACCAAGATCTGGGTGTTAGGTATGCTCACTGCTATTGGAGTGTCATTACTTTTAGGCTCTCTCAGCGAACAGGGTTAGGTAATATACATATGTATACACACACTCTATAATTGTTTCTCTAGCTATCTATCTGTATATGTATTAAACTAAATATGAGTTCACACTGATGTCTCTGGCTCTAACCCGGAGCTCATTCCAGCCTTCCATAACTTCTCTCTCTGACAATGAGAAACCTGGCTCCCAACATCCATGAATTATTTGCTCAACCCAATATAGATGTAAAGCAGTTTCAAAATTTTTAAGCCATACCCTAATGAGAAACAAATTTACCTACAAGAGTATGATGTTGATGTAGAGTATATCATTCTTTTTATCTTTACCTTTTGACATTTTCCAGTCAAAACAGTGTCCTCCAAAGTTACTTAAGTCAGCTCCTTTTTTTCTCATCCCCTTCAATGTCATAAATATGTAATACGATTAAACTAATTTGTCAGTCTACATTCTATCCCAGAATACCCTGGCATCAGCTGATTTTTTAAGGTGTTTATTAAATATATGTTAGGTGGGCAAAAACTAGTGCTAAGCTCCCCAGGAACACAATTCCTCCCTATTTGTGTCCATATCTTCCAGTTACGTCTACATAAATAGGTGCTCTATGAATCCATTGAATGACTGAATATACTTCTATTCACTTAATTGCAAATAAAGCAAGTCCCAGATCCCCAGCTGCTGCTTTTTGTTCACTAATGATTCCCAACTCCCAACCATCTGGCTGACTCTGGCCCAGTCTAGAAAAGTCATCTGTTCCCTTCCCAACACTCATTTCTCTGATATCACCGGGCGCCTAGGTAGAACGCACATGCCTGGCATGCACACGCTGTCCTGTTCCCCTGCCTCTTTACCTCTGTGTCTGTTATACAAAAATATGTTTTCCTCTCTTCAGCCCTACCTATCTCTTCTCCCAAACGCTATTATAAAGCCTTTGACAATTTCCGGTCAAAATACCATTTTCCAAAGTTCCCAGGGCTTCCCTGTGAAGCCCTTTTTGGTTTATCCTAGGGGCAGGTTTCCCTCTCCTAGTGAACCCTAGCCACACTCTGGGCCTCTCAGGCTCTTTGTCAAGGAGAGGCAAAGAAAAAAGAGAGAGGGAGCTGAAGGGGAGAGAGGGCCGAGACCCCCTGGCTAGGCTAGCTCAGAAGTCCAGGAGAGACATAGCCCTCAGAAGAGTTGAGGTGCTCCCTTCACCTCTCACCTCTCCCCCAGGACTGCCTTTGCTCCCACCAAAAACATCAACATTTCCTCGTGTCAATTCTAAACTTACATGGGCTGGAAGCTAGGGGGCCCAGAAATAAAGAAGGTGTAGGGCCCCTGTTCTCAAAGCACTCACAATCTAACTGGAAAAATAAAGCACAAGAAAAGAAACAAAAATCGGCCGGATGCAGTGGTTCACGCCTATAGTCCTAGCCCTCTGGGAGGCCCAGGTGGGAGGATCGCTTGAGATCAGGAGTTTGAGACCAGGCTGAGCAAGAGTGAGACCCCATCTCTGCTAAAAATAGAAAAAATTAGCGGGGCTTGGTGGTGCATGCCTGTAGTCTCAGCTCTTTGGGAGGCTGAGGCAGAAGGATCACTTGAGCTCAGGAGTTTGAGGTTGCTGTGAGCTAGGCTGACGCCACGACATTCACTCTAGCCCAGGCTACAAAGTGAGACTCTGTTTTGAATAAATAAATAAATAAATAAAAGAAGCAAAAACACAAAATAGCAACTCAACAATGTGGATGAAATCAGAGGAAGGAAAGGCCTCAACTGGCCAGGCAGATGGGGAAGAGGTTGCAGAATTTAGCTTGTGGTGAGAGGAGTGAGGGAAGGGTTTAGTCCCTGGGAGCTGAAAGCCTGGAGTCCAGGGGAAGAAATTACCTCTGAGTACCAGTTATGCCTCATCTTCACTTCCCCTTAGCCCAGTTCAGTACCCAAGATGGGAAACCACAGCAGGGTTCTGGGGAAGGCAGTTCAACCAGCTGGCGGAATCAGAGTGTGTTCACAGAGCCATTGGCCACAGGGCCGGTGAGTGCCAGATGGCGCACAGGGCCTGTGGAGGCAGGAGGACATGCAATACCCTCCATGGCCTTGAGGAGGAGAGAGTCACAGGGATCAGGACCGTGTTTCAGCAGCAGCAGTTTGGAGGCTGTGTGTGGGACAGATGGCAGAAAACAGGCTGGAGACCAGCTGAGGTTCCCACAACAGTCCCCATCAGGCCCAGGCCAGACTTAGGCCATGTCATCATGGTCACTGATCTTCCTCTCTGGGTCTTTCTGTCTATGGACAGAAGTGACACCACTTCTCAGACTTAAAGCTGAATAGGGTCCAGGCAGGGTCCTTTCTTTATCCTTTGTTCTCAAAATGAAGTCAGCACTAGGGGGTACCCTGGATCTGGAAGGCTGGGTGTGAGAGATGCCAAGCATAGGGATCAGTAGAACAGAGGGTAACACAGAAGAGGAGGAGGAAGTCCCAGCAAAGTTTATTTATAGAAAAACCTAAGTAACAGCCCAAGCTATTTAGCCTTTTCACAGCCCTGGCAGCAGCTTCTCAGCAAACTTCTCATGCAGAGGCCAGACAGAATCCCAAGGGTTTCTGCCTTGGCCCACGCTCCAGCCTCAGTGCCCACCATGTACTTCAGATCTCTGTTCTGGGTGCTGAGCAGAGGCCATCCCAGAGGGAGGAAAAGCAGTGTTCAAGAGTTTCAGTCTGCAAAAAGGAGACTGTTGAGACCCCCGGCACTGATGGGCATGTGACACTGGACATCCACGCTGGACGGATGGGGGGAATCCAGGAAGGAGTGGCAGATGTTAGAAGATAGCAGAGTATTGGGCTTTTTCTGCAAGGTAACCTACAAAGAAGGAGCACAAGCATCTTTAAGCCACACTGGGATGCTGTGAAGAACACAGCCATCTCTTCCCACATCCCAACTTCCCGCAGGCTTTTCTGTTTTACTCCAAGCTGGAGTCCAGGAGAAAGACCCTAGCCAGAACCATGTGCAGGGCAAAATAAATAGTGATAAGGGTTTTGGGGACAGGAACCAAGCTCCCCACTCAGGGTCAAAGCTTGGGGCCGGGGGTGAAAGAGCGTAGGTAGAGGACGGCTGCCCCACAACTTCCTTCTTCCCAGCCTGTCCTATCTGTATCAGTATCTCAGGGCAACAGGGAAACACCGCTCCTGTAAATGCAGGTCCTGGGGACCCAGGGTAGCCTGTGGGGAGGGGCAGTGCTGAGAGGGAGGTTCATTTTATTTTGTATTTACCCAAAAGTTCAGGAAGCCCTTGCTGACATTCTTGCTTGGGGGCCCAGAAGTTAAACTTAGTCACTGCCCAGAGCCCTTGTTTTAGGAAAGAATGAAATGGCTGGTTGCATAACCCAGAGCTGGGCGGGTGTGGGTTGCAGAAGGAAACAGTCCCTCTTCCTGCCTCTTGCAAGGAGTGCTGGGGAAGCAGGTGGGCAGCAGTTGAGGCAGACCCTTGGAGCTAAGGCAGACAAGTGGACAGACAGAAACACCCAGACCAGTCCCTCTCCGAAGGCCCCTGGGCACAGCACAGCCTCATGAATGTAGAAAACCCAACAGATGGCTGGGGGAGAAGGGGACAGACAGAGGAGGGGAAAGGAGAGGGACAGAGGAGCAGGCTGACCTGAAGGGCAGACGTGTCTGGGGAGGCCTGTTCTCCAGCCACTATACCCAAGAGCATGCGAATATAGGCTCCTCTAACTTTTGTCCCCCCTCCATAGTTTCAACTGCCTAATTCCCCCCTTTTCCTGCCTCCCAGGTGTTGGGCCAGTTCTCACCCTGTGCATTCAGCCCCTCTCCAGTGCTTCCAGACTCAACAGGTCCCATCACAATGTTAGGGTTTCCCACAGTTCATTCAGGGTGTATTCCTTCCCATCCTCTCCCCGTTTCAGCCCCTGCTCCCCCAACCCCTTCTGTCGTCTTACCCCAGTCTGGCACCCCTCACACCCCTTTTCCCCATGGCCACATCTCAGGGATACTTTCTCTTGCCCCATTCCCAATTTGGCCCCTCCCCTCCTCGGGGTTGGTCTTCTTCTCCCGCCAGCAGTAGGTTCTCCCACGACCCCATCGTCCTTCATCTCCACCTTTTCTCTGTCTCTACACATTCATCCACATCCCTCTTGGGAACCCCCATCTCTTCTCAGTTCCCTTTTAGCCCCCCATCTTCCCACTCCCCACCCCACAGGAGCCCCTGCCTGCCCTTCATCTTCCTACACACACACACACACACACACACACACACACACACACACAAGTGCATATCGCTCCCATCCTCCCCTTCCTCCACCCCTCCCCACCCTCCATTCCCTCCAGCCAGCTGTACAGCTCCCAGATTCCGGGCTAGATTCCCAGGAACAAAGCAAGAAAAATCAGAGCAATTTGGGAAGTAAACAGAAACTGGGAAGGGAGGGGAGAAAGAAGAGTGGGGAGGACCCAGGTGGGGGGGGCTCTCCAGTCCCACCCAGTTTAGGGAATGCCCCTGCCTTCTCCACCCCCCCTTCACCTGGCTCTTAAAGGGCCGGGCCCCAGACGGGCGGCTACTTAAGGCAGAGGGGCGGCGGCGGGCAGCAGCTGCGCTACAACTGCTCGGGAGGAGCGGACGGGGCAAAAAATCCTGACCATGACCCCCCACGGGCTGCTGCCGCCACTGCTGCTGCTAACTCTGCTGCTCGCTGCCAGCCCAGGAGGCGCTTTGGCGCGGTGCCCAGGCTGCGGGAAGGGGGTGCAGGCGGGCTGTCCAGGGGGCTGCGTGGAGGAGGAGGATGGGGGGCCGCCAGCGGAAGGCTGTGCAGAAGCTGAGGGCTGTGTCAGGAGAGAGGGGCAGCAGTGCGGGGTCTACACCCCTAACTGCGCCCCAGGACTGCAGTGCCAGCCACCCAAGGACGACAAGGCGCCGTTGCGGGCGCTGCTGCTGGGCCGAGGCAGCTGCAGCCGGGCCCGCGCGCCCGCGGGTGAGTCCGCGTCCCGCCCCTGGCCCGCCCACGTGGGACCCGCATCTCCCCGGGTAGGGCGGCCCTGCGAGCCGCGGGGTCCTGACCTTGACGCTTCCTACTCCCCGACCTAGGGGGCACCTTGGCGGGTAGGGAAGGGGCAAGCGCAGGAAGCATCTAGGAGGGTGGGGTGTGGCTAGGGGACCTGGGGAGAAAGCTCAAGGTGTCCGAGCTCTCCGTGTTCTTTTTTGATCCCTCTATTTATTTTCCCTAGAGGGAGCAGGCGAGGGAGGGGGAATGGATGGTTTTTGGGCATCCCATGTGCCCCTGCAGGCCCAGCTCCTTCAACCCTAGATGCTCAAGCTGGAGAAAGGACCCAAAAGTTGTTCCCAGCTTCTGCTTGGAGAAGGAGGGAAGGGAACCCCAGACTTCCAAATTCTACACAGGCTGAGAAATGTCTCCTTCTATCCTCTTAATACCAGTGTGCGAAGCACCTGAACAGAAGGTGTCTAGGATCGAAGATGCCCCAAATCCAGAGTTGTACTAGACTTGACTAGGGACAGAGGGCAGGCACTGTGCCGGCCCAAGGGGAGGGAGAAAGAGGTGGGAAAAGTGGGAATCTGCCAAATCAGGGTTATGATTTAAACCTGCTCAGAACCCTTCACCCACCTACCCCACCCTACTCCAGGGAGGAGAATGCAAGCTGAGTCACTGGGTGGGTGGGACAGAAATGAATCAGCACCCAAAAGATGGGGGGGCAGCAGGGAGATGAGGAGGGCAGGAAATGCAAACTACCCCTACCCCAGACGAATCTGAGCTCCTAGTTTCTTCCACCGCAAGGGATGGAAAATTAACTTGGTGTTTCTTTCAGTTCCAAATGCCAGAGCGGGCTTCTAGGGGTCCTTCTAGAAGAGGTGGTCTGGGTGGGAGAAGGCAGTGTGGATCATGGTCATGATTGAGTACTAAATGGAGGGAATGCGGGACGGGGTCTGAGGAGGGTGGGGTACCCTGAGGGAGAAGGATCACACTCAGGATTGCAGAGGAAATGGCTCTCTGTTGCAAGTAGCAGTTACTTGGGACCTTGTCTTTGGGCATGGAGGGAGAGAAAGGACCCATTCAGGGGTTCCAATATCTAATTTTACAGCCAGGGCAAATTCCAAGCAGTACACGCTCCCCTCCCTGCCTTTTCCTAGCCCTGACGTATTTCCTCACCCTTTCCTAGTCCTGAGCTCTCCCCAGGCCCACCAGGAACTTTCTCCAGAGCCAAGAGCAACCTGCCAGTTGGAAGCCTCTCATTTCCTGCACCTTTGCAACCTGCCCTCAGCCCATCCTGGTTAAGAGTTGAATCCATATGCTCCTGGGACCACAGGGTGGACCTGGCCTGAGCCACAGGGGACCAGAGGAAGAGGTCCCCACTGCAGTGCCCCAAAAGTAACCACATCTCAGGCCTGGGAGAGGTGGGCTGAGTCACAGCAGGGTCACAGCAGGGACACGCATTCCGCTTAGGTCCCTGTTGACCCGCTCCTACATCCGTTGTTCTACTGCCCCATCTCCCTGGCTTGGTGCACCCCCTTCTGGCGTCTGGTGGAACAGCCAGGTCTTCTCACTGGAAGCCCAAAGCCTTGCAGTAACTAATAGTACTTTGAATTTGTTCTTGGCTTTTGCTTTCCAAAATGCTTCTCCCTTACAAGCCTTAAAATTGCTCTGGGGACTATTGGAGAATATTGTCAGGAAAAGTCATATAACTATTTGTCAGAGAAAGAAACTAAGGCCAGTATACGGTAACAGTGGCGCCAGGTTCTAACTCCCCGCACTTTTCTCCCCATGCATAAGGCCCCTTCTGTCTCCCACATCAGTGGGTAGTAGTGGGAGGGCCCCTCTCCACGTGGCTCTGGTCATTGGCGTCTGCCTGATTTCTGGCCCCTTCTCCCATTCTTCTGGGGGTTGTAGAGGAGAATCCTAAGGAGAGTAAGCCCCAAGCAGAGACTGCCCGCTCACAGGACGTGACCCGCAGAGACCAACAGAGGAATCCAGGGACCTCTACCACCCCGGCTCGGTCCAGTTCTGGGAGTGTCCAAGACTCTGAGATGGTGCGTTTGGGGCAGGAAGGGTTGGGAGCCCTGGAGACTTCCATCTGAGATTTCTCCCTTGGGCTTGGAGAGGTCTCCGGGAGCCCTGGGAGCCTGGTTGGTGGGGCTGATGGGCTGTGCAGGGGAGCTGGGCTGGAGCCATCCTTAGCTGCCTGCTCTCCCTCCCCCAGGGCCCATGCCGCAGACACCTGGAGTCAGTGCTGCAGCAACTCCAGACCGAGGTCTACCGAGGGGCTCACACCCTCTATGTGCCTAACTGTGACCATCGAGGCTTCTACCGGAAGCGGCAGGTGAGACTGTGTCTTCTCCCCTTGCTCCAGCATGAGGTTCCTATGGGAGCTGGGGGAGAGTTGACAAAGTTGCATAAATAAGACACTGTCCCTGTCTTTAAGGATCTTCCAACTTTAGGACCCACACAGACATAAAGAATAACCAAGCATACATTGTAGTAGACGACTTAAAGGACCTAGGGAATGGGCTAGCTCAGCGGCTGTCAACCTTGGGGCATCAGCATCACCTGGAGGGCTTGTGGGCAGATGGCCTACTGGCCAAGCCCTACCTGCAGTTTCCCATTCAGTAGGTCTGGGGTGGGGCCTGAGAATTTGCATTTCTAACAGGCTCCCTAGTGATGCTGGTGCTGTTGGTTTGGGAACAGCACTTGGAAAACTACTGTTCTGGGCTAGCAGAATGCACACAATTTATTGGTTGAAGAGGGGGAGCCAAGGAAAGGGAACCCAGTGGGCCTCACTGTCCTGAGAGAACTCCCAGATTCTTGGGCATCCTCAGCCCCAGGAGTCCCCACCCTTCTCCTGCTGGAAGCCTCACCCCTGATCCGTGTGCCTCTCCCCAGTGCCGCTCCTCCCAGGGGCAACGCCGAGGTCCCTGCTGGTGTGTGGATCGGATGGGCCAGCCCCTGGCAGGGTCTCCAGATGGCGAAGGAAGTTCCTCCTGCCCCACCGGGAGTAGCGGCTGAAGCTGGAGGATGAGAGGGTCTGCAGGGCCACTAGCAGGAGCATGAGGCCATCATCTTGGGTTATTTGTTGAGCGATGACTAACGCAGGGGCTCTGAGCCTCACAATCTACCTTTGGGCCCTGACCCCTTGCCCCCTCACATCTGGTTGGAGAGATTGTTGGTGTTGGCTTGGGGTGTTAATAAAGCTGTGTTGGGGGTCTCTCTGGCTTATGTCTCTGTGTCTACCTCTCACAGTTCAGGAGCCCCTGGCCCTCTCTCTGCCCCCATTGCAGCCCACCTGTAGCATTCTCCCTTTCCTGGGAACTACCTTCAGTCCTTCCTGCTGCACTTGGAACACGGGAGACAGCCACTGGCAGAGGCTTCGAGCTCTCAAGCCTCACCCAGCTACCCACGGGGAGTTGCAGGGTGGGGGGAATCACTGAGATCATAGGCTCAATCTGTTGTGACCTTGTTCCTAACACTGATCTTTGGACACAAGGGGAGGGGAAAGATTAATAGTTAATCGCCAGCAGGAACCCAGCAAAGAGGAACTCTCAAAGCCCTTACTCTTCTGTTACTTCCTCACTAAAGAGGAAGGAAATTGTAATTTATATGTGAGCTCATCCCACAGCCCTGAACCATGTGATTTTACCTAGACTACCTCTTCTTGTGCTTACAATAACCTTGTGAGTTAGGGATTTTGCCCTATTTTTCAGAGGAGGAAACTGTGTTTTAAAAAGTCACTTGACTGAAATTACGCAGCCAGTAAATAATAGAGGGAGGTTCATTTCTGGTTCTTCCGTGTGTGACAATACCTGGCAATCCTTAGGTGCCACATAAGTTTTTGTTTACTCTCCTGTCTGCCTACATGCTAACCCAAGCAGTGTCAGGAAGAGGTGACTTTCAAGGGTCCTGGCACCCAGCATTTCCTGGAGGGACTGCACCACCATGAATATGAGGGGTGCCAACCCCATGAGAATGTTACCGCACGCATACAATCACACTGCTGCGGTCTAAGGGAGCCGAATGCACTGATACGTGAAGACATTCTGACTCCTCCCTGACCTCTGGCCTGCTGGGGAGAGATGGAAGGCTAGCCGTGCTGCTTAAGCCTCAGAGAGGCAAAGTCTCCTCCCCATGCACAGTCACCATTCCTGTGGGAGGGACAGCACACTTGGAGCAGGAGTCTGCGCGGTGATTGGGGTGTTAGAGGGATACAACTGTTCCTACACAGACAGCAGAGCAGAGCCTATACCTGAGAAGCTGCCCTCCAGATCAGATAACCTACCGCGCTCCAGGAGGCCCTCTCCTCCTGAAAGGACTTTAGTCTTTGGAGCTGCCAGCTGAGCTGAGTGAGACAAGAGCTGAGCAGGGCAGGGCGGGCTGGGAAGGAAAGGAGGGAACATAGGCAAGGGCTGCCTGCTGCCCACTCAAGACCCACATCATGGAGCCCAGGGGGTGCCATTTGCGGAAGAGAGATGGGCCGAAAGGGGAGCAGGAGGAGCGACCCTCTGGAGACGGTGAGCCACCCTCTGGGAGTGCAGAGGCTCAGGAGGCGTTGGGGAGAGCTGCATGGTTGAGGGGAGGCTCCTGCTGTCTAATGTCAATCCTTCCTGCTGTCCTGGGAGGTCAAGGAAGGCAGACCTCAACCCTGCCCCAAGCTACCCAGTTGAGAGATGGAGGAGAAAAGGGCTATTGAGAGCTGTGGCCTTACCTTATCTTTTTGACCCTTTAACCCCAGAGGGTGAACAGAACAGCTTCCTGTTCCCTGGGCATTTTCTAGTCTTGTCATCAGGCCCCCTGCTTGCCAACGGCCTCTGCACTGCCTGCAAAAACAACTTCCTCTTCTATTTGCTCACACTAAATATTGGGGGGTTGGGGCGGGGACAATGGAAGGCTGCTGAGCATTCAGAGAGCATGTCCTGGACAGAGAATGCCTCTGGGTCTGCACAAAGCGGCAGAACCCTAACCGGTCCCCCTCGAGTGTGCCCTTTGCTCCCTCCTCCTAGGAAATGCTGAGACGCACAGAGCCCCAGACTTGGTGCAATGGTCCCAACATATGGAGGTGAGGGACATCAGAGGTCAGAGGTTAAGATGGAGAGTTCCTGGGGTGGTGGGAGGCAGGGCTGAGGACTGGCTTGGTGATAAAGATGATTTGTTCTTGAGTTCAAAGATCAGGTTAGAATTCAGAGTTAAGATGGAGGGTTCGAAGTACAGGTCCTCAGGCCAGGGACTAACAGTCAGCCAGTGAACAGTCTTCCTGTTAGTGGGGCTAGAGGTCAGGGTTAAGAGAGTGAGGATCAGAGGTGACATGGCTGGAATTCAGACCCAGGGAGTGGAAGCCTTCTCCTGCTGCCATTCCTTGGTCCTCACTCCTGCCCTGGGAAGCCAGAAGATCAATTACTGAGGAACCTGTGGGAAGGAACCATGGCTTGCTTGTTCATCTTTTTGTCCCTAGCACATAGCACTGTGCCTGGCACAGAGAGAAGCTCAGTAAATGTTTGGTGAATGAAAGGATGGCTGACTGCATGGAGGGACAGTGGGCCTTGCCCTGGCTTTGTCCTATAGGCTGTGAAGACACAGTTGCTGGAGCAAGCGCAGGGACAGCTGACGGAGCTGCTGGATCGGGTGATGTGGGAGGCTGTGCAATCCTATCCCCAACAAGGCAGGCCTCTGCCCTCCATTCCCCTAGATTCCTTGAGCAGGTGAGTCTGAAGGGCCAGGGGGCCGGGGAACGGCTGCAGCCAGCCCCTCCATAGCAAGGATCATGGACCATAGACATCATCTTATGTGCCCTTTACCAGCCTTGGCATGACCCTGACTTCAGCCTTCCCTCTTCTCCCCATATTATCTTGTCTTCCCAACACAGGCCTCCACCTTCTGGGCCTGACCCTGGCCCTGACCTTCCCCTACTACTGCTCTTGGTTCCCAAGTATTGACCATCTGCATGGCCCTGCCCTCTGCCCACTGCCTTCTTCCTTCCTGGCCTGACTCTGAACAAATGTCTCAATTCAGGACCCGGGAGCCACCCCTGGGGAAACAGAAAGTTTTCGTCATCCGCAAGTCCCTGCTTGAGTAAGTCAGGGGTGAAGACAGGGCATAGGAGGAAAAGAAAAGGCTTCAGCTGAGGGGCCAGGTCACCTCCTTTCCTATCCCTAGGCTCAAAGTGGTTTGTGGGGAGGACTTGGAGAGGGTTTCTAAGGTTCCTTTTCCCCCATTTGCCCTGGGCATGGCTGTGGAAGAAAGACCACCAGGAGAAGTCCCAGCATTTAGCTGGAAGGTCCAGATCACTAGGCCCCATGCCCTCATGTGCACAGACCCCGAGCCAGTCCCTGTGACTCTGGGGACTCTCCCACATTGACCTTGGGGCCCTGTCCCTCCAGTGAGCTGATGGAGGTGCAGCACTTCCGCACCATCTACCACATGTTCGTCGCCGGCCTGTGTGTCTTCATCATCAGCACGCTGGCCATCGACTTCATTGATGAGGGCAGGTAGGCCCCCCTCCCACCTGGGATAGGCACCTCAATCTGGCCAGATCCAATGGGTCCCCAGTGCCCCACATTGCTTCCAACAACCTTCCCACCTAAAACACCCTCTAGGACCCCTTCCCTCTGCAGCCTTGGATGCCCCTTAGTCTGTCTCCCGGAGCCAGCCACTCTGGAGAAACCATGCTCCCTCTCAAAAATTTCTCAGTGAGAACCTTGCCCTGAAGCAGATACACACACATGCGCATCCACCCACCTTCCTGTCCAGGCCAGTTCTATTCAATTCAAGTAACCACCACTGAACACCTACTGAGTACCAGCCCTGGGGGCCAGAGTAGTGAGCAGGGCAGACCCCATCCCTGTCTGTGAGGTACTCCCAATCTCTCTGGGAAGCCAGACAGGAACACAAGTGCCTTGGTGGATTATTCTTTCCACAGAGCACCCCTGCAACTGTGAGGATGAGTTTCAGAGGGCGGTCTGCCCCTGGGGGGTCTGTATTCTCGTGTCCCCTGACCTCACCCTAAGTCAGCCTTAGAAAGCAGCAAAAGGAAGAGGACCAAGGATCTGAAAGTTCAGCAATAGTACTTCCTTTTGCTAAAATTGTTATTGTCAATTATCTACATTTTATAAGGATAAAATCTCAGTGAAAAGTTCAAATACACTTTTTACCATAAAATGACAGTCCTTCCTGACCATGCCCTCAGTCCCAGACTGCTCCCCAGAAGTGACCATTTTTAACAGTTCTGAGTTTCCCTCCAGAGTATTTTTCATGCATCAACATCCATATGTATATAAGTACCAAAGAGATGTTGTGGGGGTTTTACATAAATCAAACACTGTACCTATTATTTTGCAATTTGTTTTTACTCCCTAATAATCTCTCTTAGGGATCTTTCCATTTTAATGACCACAAAGTATGGAGGTGCCAGATTTTATTCATTTAGTCTTTTATTAATGGACGTTTAGGTTGTTTCCAATTTTTCCCCTTCACGAACCATACACTCTTAAACTAGGCAAACAAAACTCTGAACAACCTGCATCCTATTAGCTCAAGTCTACAAGTATAGACACCCCAAAGGAACAAAACTAAGGAAAATCAAAGTCTACATACTTCATATTCTAGCACTTGTGGTGTACAGAGTACTGAGCCCTCCTGTAACACCATGAAATTGACAGAGGCCCCTAAAGGTTATTTACAATCAAACCCATTCCATGACTAGGTCTTCTCCAGCAGCACCCGGTTCCAGAAGCCCTGGGCCACAGAGGTGCCATCTTGAACACCTGCAGGGATGGGGAGCTCACAACCTGATCAAGATACCTCAGTTTATTTTCCAGCAGCTCTGATTGATGAGTAAGGGACAAGGCTGGGCTACACTTTTGTCCACTTTGTCTCTCTTTTCCCACTCCAAGGCTGGTGCTGGAGTTTGACCTACTGATCTTCAGCTTCGGACAGCTGCCCCTGGCGCTGGTGACGTGGATCCCCATGTTCCTGTCCACGGTGCTGGTGCCCTACCAGGCCCTGCGTCTGTGGGCGAGGCCGGGGCCCGGGGGCGTCGCCTGGGCGTTGCGGGCGGGCCTGGGCTGCTCGCTGCTGGCCGCCCACGCAGCGGTGCTCTGCGTCCTGCCTGTCCACGTGGCGGTAGCGCACCAGCTCCCGCCGGCCTCGCGCTGCGTCCTGGTCTTTGAGCAGGTGAGGGGTGAGCGCCGCTGCAGCGGGAGGGCACAGGCAGGCCATCCCTGCAAGGGCCGCTCTCAAAGAGCAGAAGCGCGTTTGGTAGAGAATTGGGAGGGGGAGCTAGTGACGAGGGGCAAGAGTCCGTTGTGAGGGACCTGGGGGAACCCGTAGCCTCTAAGGAACAGTAAACGAACGAAAGAGGCACCACTTCGCCACTTCGCAAACATAGTCTGACGCCGCAGTCGCAGTCACACAGGCTTGGCTGAGTGAAGACACTGCCTGGGCCTCTCCTGTCCCCCTAAATTTACCCTTCATCCCAGCGGCGCCCCGTGTTAGGCTATAAGGCGATCTGACCACACAGATTTTACACTCTTGTGCCTCTCTGTCGTGAATGAGAGCGCAGAGCGGTTAAGAGATTTGCCCAAAGCCACTTGGCCTCCCTTCCACTCCGCCTCAGGTCAGGCTCCTGATGAAGAGCTACTCCTTCCTGAGAGAGGCTGTGCCCGGGACCCTTCGTGCCAGAGGAGGTGAGGCAGACAGCTGGCCTTGTTGCCAACTCAGCCCCCCTGAATGAAGCCAGTCCTTGCAGGATCCTCATAAAAGCCCTGCCTTCCCCAGTCCCATCTTGCCCAGAGGTCACAGCTCTGGCCTCCAGCTGGGCTCTGTGGGCATTCTCAGGTCCCACCTCTGAGAGATGGCACTTCTGTTACCCAGGATTTCTGGCGTTTTCCTATTTCAGGCCCAGCCTGAAAAGATCCAGGGTATGAGAATCTCATACAGGCATACCTCAGAGATATTGTGGGTTTGGTTTTAGACCACTGCAATAAGGCAACTCTTGAATTTCTGGGGTTCTCAGACCATGTAAGAGTTATGTTTACACTATAGTCTATGTTTACACTGTAGTCTATGAAGTGTGCAGTCGCATGTGTCTAAAAACACAATGTACATACCTTAATTAAAAGAATACTGGCCGGGAGAGGTGGCTCACGCCTGTAATCCTAGCACTCTGGGAGGCCGAGAAGGGAGGATAGCTCAAGCTCAGGAGTTCGAGACCAGCCTGAGCAAGAGCGAGACCCCGTCTCTACTAAAAATAGAAAGAAATTATCTGGACAACTAAAAATATATAGAAAAAATTAGCCGGGCACGGTGGCGCATGCCTGTAGTCCCAGCTAATCGGGAGGCTGAGGCAGGAGGATCGCTTAAGCCCAGGAGTTTGAGGTTGCTGTGAGCTAGGCTGACACCACGGCACTCACTCTAGCCCGGGCAAAAGAGTGAGACTCTGTCTGAAAAAAAAAAAAAAAAAAAAATGCCAATGATTGTCGGAGCCTTCAGCGAGGGTCTCACCTTGATGTTGATGGCTGCTAACTGATCAGGGTGGCAGTTGTTGAAGTTTAGGGTGGCTATAGCAGTTTCTTGAAATAAGACAACAATGAAATTTGTCAAATCGATTGACTCTTCCTTTCATGAAAGATTTCTCTGTAGCGTCTGATGCTGTGTGATAGCATTTTACCCACAGTAGAACTTCTTTCAAAATTGGAGTCAGTCCTCTCAAACACTGCCACTGCTTTATCAACTAAGTTTATATACTATTCTAAATCCTTTGATGTCACTTCAACAGTGTTCACAGCATCTTCACAAGGAGTGGATTGCATCTCAAGAAACCACTTTCTTTGCTCATTCATAAGAAGCAACTCCTCATCCATTAAAGTTTTATCTCAACATTGTAGCAATTCAGTCACTCCTTCGGGCTCCACTTCTAATTCCAGTTCTCTTGCTATTAATATTTCTACCACATCTGCAGTTATTTTCTCTACTAAAGTCTTCAACCGCTCAAAGTCATCCATGAGGGTTGGAATCAACTTCTTCCAGACACCTGTTAATGTTATGTTGATATTTTGACTTTCTCCCATGAATCATGAATGTTCTTAATGGAATCTAGAATGAAAAATTCCTTCCAGAAGGTTTCCAATTGACTTTGCCCAGATCCATCAGAGGAATCACTATCTATGGCAGCTATAGCCTTACAGAATGTATTTCTTTTTTTTTTTTTATTTCAGCATATTATGGGGGTACAGATGTTTAGGTTATGTATGTTGCCCTTGCCCTCCCCAGAATGTATTTCTTAAATAATAAGGTTTGAAAGCTGAAATTACTCTTTGATTCACGGGCTGCAGAATGGATGTTGTCTTAGCAGGCATGAAAACAACATTCATCTCCTTGTACATCTCCTTCAGAGCTCTTGGGTGGCCAGGTGCATTGTCAACGAGTAGTAATATTTTGAAACGAATCATTTTTGTTAGCTGTAAATCTCAACAGTGGGTTTAAAATATTTAGTAAACTATACTATAAACAGATGTGCTGTCATCAGACTCTGTTCCATTGGTAAAACACAGGCAGAGTAGCATAATTCTTAAGGGCTCTAGGATTTTTTGAATGAAAAATGAGCATTGGCTCCAACTTAAAATCATCAGCTGCATTAGTCCCTAGCAAGAGAGTCGATCTGTCCTTTGATGCTTTGAAGCCAGGCATTGACTTCTCCTCTCTAGCTATGAAATTCCTAAATGGCATCTTCTTCCAATGGAAGGCTGTTTTGTCTACATTGAAAATCTGTTGTTTATTATAGCCACCTTCATCTATTATCTTAGCTAGATCTTCTGGATAACTTGTGGCAGCTTCTAGATCAGAACTTACTGCTTTACCTTGTACTTTTATATTATGGGGATGGCTTCTTTCTTTAAACCTCATGAACCAACCTCTGCTAGCTTCCGACTTTTCTCCTACAGCTTCTTTACTTCTCTCAGCCTTCATAGAATTGAAGAAAATTATGGCCTTGTTCTGGATTAGGCTTTGGCTTAAGGGAATGTTGTAGCTGGTTTGATCTTCTATCCAGACCACTCAAACTTTCTTAATATCAGCCATTAGGATGTTTTGCTTTTTGATCATTCATGTATTCACTGGAGTAGCACTTTTAATTTCTTCCATGAATTTTTCCTTTGCATTCACAACTTGGCTAACTGGTGCAAGAGGCCTAGCTTTTCAGCCTATCTTGGCCTTTTCTTTTCTTTCTTTAATCCTTTTTTTTTTGTTGTCAGCACAGAGGATTGAGTTCAATTTTCTTTTCAGTTTTTCCCCTAGCTTGGCTTTTAACATGCCTTCCTCACCAAGCTTAATCCTTTCTAACTTTTGATTTGAAGCGAGAGATATTTGACTATTCCTTTTACTTGAACACTTAGATGCCATTATAAGGTTATTAATTGGCCTGATTTTAATATTGTTGTGTCTCTGGGAATAGGGAGGCCCAAGGAGAGGAGAGAGATGGAAGAAGTGTCGGTCAGTGGAGCAGTCAGAACACACACAACATTTATTGATTAAGTTTACAGTCTTCTATGGATGTGGTTCAAGGCATCCTAAAACAATTGCAACAGTAACACTAAAGATCACTGATCACAGATCACCATAACAGATATAATAATAATGAAAAAGTTTGAAATATTGTGAGAGTACCAAAATGTGACACAGAGACACAAAGTGAGAACATGCTGTTGGAAAAATGACACTGATAGACTTGCTAGATGCAGGGTTGCCAGACCTTCAATTTGTTAAAAAAAATGCAATATCTGTGACACACAATAAAGCAAAGTGCAATAAAACGAGGTATGCCTGTATTAGGAAGTCAGGGTAGAAAGGAAGGAGAATGGGTCGTGGAACATACAGGCGCCAAGTGAGGCTCTGGCCACAGTAGGTCCTGCACTGGAAAATGGGGTGCCTAGAATGGAAGCAAAGATGGGGCGTTAAAGAGTAGGTTCGTTGCTTGCCCACTTGCCTCCCCCAGCCTGCATCCAGATCCTATATCCAGCGCCTCCTCCTGCCTCCACCTCTGTCTCTCTGCTCACCAATCCCACCACCCTTCCCCAGCAGCCTACCCACCTCTGCCCCTCCCACTCCCTAATCTACCTGCTTATTCCTCATCAGGTGAGGGGACCCGGGACCCCAGTTTCTCCAGCTACCTCTACTTCCTGTTCTGCCCCACACTCATCTACAGGGAGACTTACCCCAGGTAAGACCCTGCATCTCTTCCCCCAGTGCTGCGGCCCCAGGACCTTGTCTTCTGCTCTCCCTGGCCTGAGCGCCTCAGTCTCACTTCAGGCACTGGCCACACCCTCAGGAAGCATCCCATAATAAAGATGGGAAATAAGTGGCAGGTAGACTACCCCTTCTCACTGGGCAGCCCACGATGACACAAGGGTGACCAGCTGTCCTGGTTTACCCAAGACTGTCCCGATTTTAGAACCGAAAATCCTACACATCCCAGGAATACTCTGTATGGTTGGTCGCCTGAGTTGACACCCAAGCTAAAAATCCACTGGTCATCTCTGTTATGGAAAATCCAAAGTGTCCTAGACCCCACGTCCCCAGATAGTCCTCCCAGGCCTGAGGGATTGAGGGAGCTGTGGAGAGAGGCCCTGGAACCCATGCCCAGCCTGAGCAGGGAACAGCATAAAAGGGTGAGAAACATATTATCCCCATTGCTGCTGCAGGACATCCAACATCAGGTGGAATTATGTGGCCAAGAACTTCGCCCAGGTCAGAAGATGGGGCAGAAGGGTGGACCACCTGTCACTCACAGTGGCTGAGGAGACATTGCTGGGAGTGAGGTGGGGGAGGCCTGGGGAGGAGGTGGGAGGGTGGTGCTAAGGGAAGAGAAGGCAGCTGCTGGGCCAGAGGTCCAATCCCATGGGTAGTGGCCGGTGCCCACTCCCAAGGCGTGCGCCCCATCCCTCCCCAGGCCCTGGGCTGTGTGCTCTACGCCTGCTTCATCCTGGGTCGCCTCTGTGTTCCTGTCTTTGCCAACATGAGCCGAGAGCCCTTCAGCACCCGTGCCCTGGTGCTCTCTATCCTGCATGCCACATTGCCAGGTAAGCCCACCCAGGTGGGGATAGGGAAGACCTGACTCTTCACCTTCCGTCAGTTTCAACACCTTCCCCCTCTGAAGCTCCGCTTGTATCTGTCTCCTCCTGTCAGTGCTCATTGCTGCGATTTCAGTTCAGATTATTAGCCAACCGCCCTCCATATCAGCCTCCTAACGTATCTCCCTGGCACCCAAATCTTTCCTCTCCCATCCAGCCCTGACACTGCCACCCAGGCAAACTTCCCTATGACCAATGAATCATTCCCTACCCTGCTTCAAAACCTCCAGTGACGGCCAGGCGCGGTGGCTCACGCCTGTAATCCTAGCACTCTGGGAGGCCGAGGCGGGTGGATCATTTGAGCTCAGGAGTTCGAGACCAGCCTGAGCAAGAGCGAGACCCTGTCTCTACTAAAAATAGAAAGAAATTAGCTGGACAACTAAAAATATATATAGAAAAAATTAGCCGGGCATGGTGGCACATGCTTGTAGTCCCAGCTACTTGGGAGGCTGAGGCAGAAGGATCACTTGAGCCCAGGAGTTTGAGGTTGCTGTGAGCTAGGCTGACACCACGGCACTCTACTCAGGACAGTAGAGTGAGACTCTGTCTCAAAAAAAAAAGAGAAAAAGAAAACCTCCAGTGATTACCCATTGCTGGCACTTCTAGATAAGATTTGACTTTGGTCTGGCATTCGAGGCCTCTTCCTATGCAGCCCCACCCTTTCTTCTCATCCCACCACAAGCCCAGAAAGGTCCATGCCTCCGGGCCTTTGCTCATACTGGCCCCTCAGCTTGGAATGCCCTTTCCCCATTTTCCAGCTGTGGAATCTAGTTCCTGGGAGGCCCACAGCTGAGATGTCCCCTCCTCTGAGAAGCTTTCCTTTTATAGCCATCAATTACCATGACGCACCCCTTGCCCTGCACTCCCTAGTACATTGATGGCCACCATGCTTAGCTCCCGTTACATTTGACCTTGCTACATGGTTGGACATGTCTCTCTGTCTCTGTCTCTGTCTCTGTCTCTCCAAACACTGTGAACTCCTGGTGGCTAGGGGCTGTGAGATCCATCTTTGCATTCCCAACATCTGGCACAGAGTAGATGCCAAGTAAATGCACATGAGCAAATGGCGAATTAATGAATGCATGAATTCGTGAATGACTAATAAATGATTGGTAAGAGTTGGGACCCTGGTTGCTGGGCAGGGCCTCCTCAGAGCCCAAATCAGGGCTGCCTGGGAAGTCCAGGTAGGGCCGTCTGACCTGCAGCCCCTTGTCCGCACACACCAGGCATCTTCATGCTGCTACTCATCTTCTTTGCCTTCCTCCATTGCTGGCTCAACGCCTTTGCGGAGATGCTACGATTTGGAGACCGAATGTTTTACCGGGTGAGGGCCTGCACCTGGGCCAGTTGGAAGTTGGAGGCAGGGAGGGTTAGAGAGGGATCTGGGGAAGATGGTGGCTATGTTGGGTGTTCCCTCAGCTGTGCTGCTGAGCTCCCACAGTGAGAAATGTGGTCCTCTAGGTGTGGTTATAGTGCAGCCCTCCACCTCCCAACCAGCCAGGGCTAACTGCTTTTGTGTGCATGGTACTATAGAATCTTCTTCTCCTGAGAGGGGTAGCAGGAGGGAGGACAGGGGCCCCAGGTCCTGAACAGGAACTGGGAGAGTGCCTGCTGTCTCTATTCTGCCCTTCTGGAACATTGGAACGGGGTGCAGGCAGAGGGAGCAGCAGAGAGCAGCTGGAGCCTGGGGTACTCACCTCCTTTCCCCAACCCTGACCCCACTCCCTCCCCAGGACTGGTGGAACTCAACATCCTTCCCCAACTTCTACCGCACTTGGAACGTGGTGGTCCATGACTGGCTGTACAGCTACGTGTATCAGGACGGACTGTGGGTACGGGCTCTGCAGACCCTTCAGCTCCCACAGTTAACGGGGGCCCTCCCAGCCATCCTCCCCTTCCTTCCCTCTGCACCACCCACCTTTCCAGACCTAAGCGACCTTTAGATTTCATCTGTCCTCATTCTACCCAACCCAACAGGTGGGAAGTCCTTCTTACAGTCTAACTTTCTTCCTTCTTTATCCTTAATTCCACCCCCTCCACAGGGCATTTCTCCCCTCCTTAGCCTTCTAAGGAACACGCATATAGCAATTTTCAGTTACCAAGGTCTTTCACATACATTAATCGGCGCAGTAACCCTGAGAAGTAAGTATTATTACATTCTTATTTTTAAATTGCAGCTAAGGCCCAATGGGCCAATAAAATGCTGTTAGATAAGACCAGTGTCAGCTCTTCTGACCCAGATCCTATATTCTTTCCATTGCACTACACTCCCTCCCGGCTTCCTTAAAGAGTGGGCTCTTCGTGGAGCTCAGGAAGACTCACTTCCCACTCCTCCCCTCACCCTGCCAGCTCCTTGGCGGCCGGGCCCGAGGGGCAGCCATGCTGGGCGTGTTCCTGGTCTCTGCAGTGGTCCATGAGTACATCTTCTGCTTTGTCCTGGGGTTCTTCTACCCCGTCATGCTGATGCTCTTCCTTGTCGTTGGAGGTGAGCTTGCCTCTGTGCCACTGGAAGGGAGCCATCCAAGGGGAGGAGGCCTGGGTCCTGCTCCTGGAGATCCCAGACTCATTGCGGGGAGGCCACACACCTAGGACCCAAGAGGAGGCTTCTGGGCTGGAGAGGTGGGGTGGGGAGGGAGGCAGCAAGCGGGTATCGTGGGGGATGTGGGAGGAGGTTTCTGGCTGAAGAGCATTTGAGCAGGGCACACATGGAGGAAGACAGAGAGAAGAAGACAGTTGCGGTTGGGAGGTTCAGTATGAGATCAGGATATTGAAGTGTGAACTGAGGAATCCTGGTTTTACATGAGCCACTGGAGACCTCCATGGGTTTCTGCAGCTGGGTTCAAGATCCTCCCCAATGGAGCCTTCCTGTTCCATCTTTTCCCAGTACCCTGGGCTGGGAGGGAAGCCAGGAAGACAAGGCATGAGTATCTGCAACCGGAGTGACAACCTTTCCTCCCGTGCCAGGGCTGCTGAACTTCACAATGCATGACCAGCACACGGGCCCAGCGTGGAACGTGCTGATGTGGACCTTCCTCTTTCTGGGCCAGGGCATCCAGGTCAGCCTGTACTGCCAGGAGTGGTATGCACGGCGACACTGCCCCTTGCCCCAGGTAAGGCACCACAACCCTTGCCCAGCTCCCCATCCGAGAGGACACACCTCCCCTTCCCAACAGCCAGCCCCGTCTTGTTCCCAATTCAACGGCCATGGTCAGGCACCAGGGCCTGCCTTGGGGGTGATGGGCTCCCATGTCTTGGATGCACAGGCTGGGTCACCAAGAGTGACCTCATTCATAATTCACTCTTCTCTGGCTTAGATAACCTTCTGGGGGCTGGTGACACCTCGCTCTTGGTCCTGCCATACCTAGAGGTCAGGGCACCCTCACTGAACAGATGACACCATCAAGTTCTTCTCTGCCTGCAAAGCCTGGACCATGGCTCCTCTCTGCATTTCCAAACATGGTTCTCAGTCGATGGGGCCTGCGTGCCGGACCCAGCCAGGGAATTGCAGGGACTGAGGTCATTGGACCTGTAGATAGCTGAGCACAGACTCAGCATGGGGGTGACTCGAGCCCTATCCTCATGGATTGGGCACACGATCCCCTCCCACCCCATAACTGTCCAGACTTGGGGAGACTTGAGGGACCTTCTAGGTTTGGTGGATGTGGGGGGACTCAGGAGATCTGGAGCCACCAGGTTGAGAAGGGTTTTGTTCTTGACTTTGTACTTCTTCCAATATAGCAATAAACTCTTTGTCTCCCTTTTTTCATTCGTTCATTCATTCATTCATTTGCTGAAGGCCCACTCGTGACAGGTACTATTGGGGGAGGAGTGAGAATTTGGGGTGACATCCTGCCTTACCTTCTCTATGCCACGCCCCTCTCCCTGGAACTCAGCCTCTACCCCTCTCCCACCTCTGTTCTTTCTCCAGCTCACATTTCCATGCCCCTTGAATCCTTCCGCTCTGGCAACCTCTGGCACATTTTGAAAGGACACACAGCAGGCCCCCTTTCCTTTAGCAAACCCAGGAGAGAAACCTCCTGTACAGACCTGAGACACCTCTTTTTGTTTGTGAACCTCAGTTTCCACAGCTATAAAAAGGATATTGGCCAGGCAAAGTGGCTCACACCTATAACCCCAGCGCTTGGGAGGCTGAGGTGGGAGGATCCTTTGAGCCCAGGAGTTTGAGGTTGCAGTGAGCTATGATAGCATCACTGCACTAGTCTGGGCCCCAGAGTGAGACTCTGCTTCCAAAAAAAAAAAAAAAAATTAGGAGTTTCCCGACTGTAGGGACACAGGAAAATATATTAGGTAGGATACAGAAGGTCAAAATATTTATATTCAGAACTGTTGCAGAAACCAGTGTGTCTCTCCTGTCTACACAGATTCCCCACCTGGTTCTAGGGAGACATCTGGGTAAGGAAAAGTAAAAACATTGGCCCCTGGGGGAATGAGGACAGAAAAACCAGGGTCCTTGAGAGAGGTGGGGCGCATCCTTTTTTTTTTCACATTTTAACAATATATATAAGTATCTTTTCATGTTAATAAACATACATCTATTGTATCATTTTTAGTGATGGCATGGTATTACATTGCATGTATATACTATAACTAATTACATATATTTCAGTTGTTCAGTTATTTCCAATATTTTGCTTTTCTTTTTTTGGGGGGCAGGGGCAGGATCTCACTTGGTTGCCCAGGCTAGCATGCAATGGGTTCACCATATCTCATTGCAATCTCAAACTCCTGTGCTCAAGCAATTCTCCTGCCCCATCCCCTTGAGTAGCTGGGACTACAGTTTTGCACCACCAAGCCCGGCTAATTTATCTATTTTTTGTAGAGATGGCATCTTGCTATGTTGTTCAGGCTGCTCTTAAAATTCCTGGCTTCAAGTGATCCTCCTGCCTCAGCTTCCCAAAGTGCTAGAATAACAGATGTGAGCCACCAAGCCCAGCCTCAGTATTTTGCTCTTATAAATAACTTAGGGCACCCTCACTGCCTAGATGAACATCTTTGTGTAAATATATATATATTTGTGCTCGTTCCTCAGGGAATTTTCTAGATGCAGAATTACTGGAACATTACGTGGGTTTACTTCAAATGTACACACTGCTAAACTTCTCTCTAGAAAGCCTATATGTATTGACAGTACATGAGTGTTGCCCATCTCCCCACCCTCATGCTGATCTTGAGTTTTGTCAACTTTTAAACTTTTGCCAATCTGATATAAGAGGAAAATTATATCTAGGTTGTTTTTATTTTGCATTATGATCATTACTTTAAATAATTAAGTATATTTTCCTGGGTACCAACCATTTTTATTTAATATTTTATTTTCATTTTGTTTATTTGTATGTTTATTTTGATTGGTTAACCAAGCTTTCTTAAAATTTATATTTATGATTTAATTAAGCTTTTTATTTTGAGTAGTTACAGATTCATATGTAGGTGTAAGAAATAACAGAGAGATTCCATGTCGCCTTTATCTAGTTCTCCCAATGATAACACCTTACAAAACTGTACACAGTTGTGTACAATGTTATAACCAGGATATTGACAATATAATCAATATACACAACATTTTTCATCATCACAGGTTCCTTTATGTTGCCTTTTTTTTTTTTTGAGACAGAGTCTTGCTCTGTTGCCCAGGTTAGAGTGTAGTGGTGTTATCATAGCTCACTGTAACCTCAAACTCCTAGGCTCAAGTAATCCTCCTGCCTCAACCTCCCAAGTAGCTGGGACAATAGGCACACACCACCACACCCAGCTAATTTTTCTATTTTTTGTAGAGATGGGGTCTCACTATGTTGCTCATGTTGGTCTCGAACTCCTGGCCTTAAGCAATCCTCCCGCTTCAGCCTTCTAAAGTGCTAGAATGTCAGGTGTGAGCCACTGTGCCCAGCCCATGTTGCGTTTTTATAGCCACCCCCACTTCCCTACCACCTCATCTCCTCCTTAACCCCTGGCAACCACTAATCTGTTCTCCATGTCTATAACTTTGTCATTTCTCAAGCTGTATTTTTAAACAGAATTATATATTAAAATGTAACAATAAGATCTTTGTATCATCAAATAAGCAATCAGTGTTCAAACTTCGAATTGTCTCATATTTTCTGTTTGCTTGCTTAAATCAGGATCCAAATAAACTCTGTACTGTGCAATTGGTTTAATTTAATCTATGGATTCCTACTCCATCTCTTATTTTAACTTTATTTTACATACAATAAAATGTTCAGATCTTAACTTTTTTATTCAACTAATTTTGTATATACCCATGCAATCATCACCCAAAACATGTAGAACATTACCATGCCCCCAGAAAGTTCCCTCATGCCCCATTCTTGTCAACTACCCAATCGGAAGCAAGCACTTACTTATTTCTACCCTCATATATTAGCTTTACCTGTTTTACAACTTCATAGAAATCTATAGTGTGTACTATTTTATCAATGGCTTTCACTCAGTTTAACATTTTTCACTCAATGTAACATTTTTAAGATTAATCTATGTTCTGCATATATCCTTTGTACCTTCTTATTGCTCAGTAGTATTCCATTTATGAATATATCACACAGTTTGTTTATCTCTTCACTTGTTGATGGACATTTGGGGTGTTTCTAGTTTGAGGTTATTATTAACAAGGCTGCTCTGAAGACTCAAGTGTGCACTTGAAAAGAATATGTACTCTGTTGTTGGGCAGAGTGTTCTTGAATATCAATTAGGTCATGTCGTTTGATAGTATTGTTCAATCTTCTGTGTCCTTACTGATTTTCTTTCTACTTGTTCTATCAGTTATTGAGAGAGGGGTGATGAAATAATTGTGGATTTCTCTATTTGGCTTTGGTTTTACATATTTTTGAAGCTCTGTTTTTAAGAGCATAAGTATTTAGGATTGTTACATCCTCTTGATGAGTTGACCTCTTGTCATTATGAAACAGCCAGCTTCTTCCCTTGTAAAATACTTTGCTGTGTCTGATATTAATATAGCTACTCCACCTTTCTTTTGATTAATGTTTGCATGCTATATCTTTTTCCATCATTTTATTTTTAAACTATTTGTGTCTTTATATTTAAAGTGGGTTTCTTATAAGCAGAAAATAGTTGGATCTTGCTATTTTATCCCATCCGATAATATCTGCCTTTTAATTGGGGTGTTTAGATCATTAAAATTTAAGACGACTATTGATATGGTTTAAATCTACTAGCTTTCTATTGTTTTCTATTTGTCCCATCAATTCTTTCTTCTCTTTTCCCTCTTTTTATGTCTTCTTTTGAATAAATTATGAGTCCACAAGTGGAATGAATGATACATTTTATTTTATTTCTTGTATCTTATTGTATATCCTTTATTCATTTCATGTTTTTGATATTTTGATCATGTTGCTATTCATTCCATTTCACCTACTCCATTGTTATTTTGGAAATTCTACTATACTTTTCCACTACCTTGATAGCTACTTTTCCTTCCCAGCAACGATAATAAAACACATATTTCTTTATCATTATTTGAAAATATATCAATTATTTCTTCCATTAATATATTTCATGTCCTGCTGCTTCTACCAATAAGAGAGATCTTTAGAATATTTTTGCTTACTTCTTTCACTCTGCTTCCAACTTCTAGGTTTTCCTGAGATAGGGTAGTACTTACGGCTCTAGATATAATTAGATATCTATCAATCTCTATGAACATTTAACTGTGTAATATTTTGCCAGGTTTGTTGCTGACTACTTGTTCTTTCACCTCTTCACCTTCTTCTCTCTTGATTTGTCTGTTCTGTGATCAAATCTTTCTTGAATATTTCCCTCAGGCGAGGTATGAGATTGATATATTCTCTGAATCCTTCAGATCTCCAAATATCTTTTTTTTTTTTTTTTTTTTGCCCTGACAGGTGAACGTTTTCCCAGCTGGGGATGAGATTCCTGGGTAGCCATCCTTTTCTCTTAGTTTTCCCACTCTTGGCTTCCAGTGTTGCAGACAAGAAGTCCTACGCCAGTCTGATTCATTTCCTTTTATATTAATAGATAACTTGCTCTTTCTGCCTAGAAACTTGAAAATGTTTTTCTTTAACCTCAGAATTTAGGAGTTTCACGTATTTCCTTGTATCTTCCTGTTCCCTTTCAGTCTGCAAGCTCAGATCTTTCTTCAGGTCAGCAAAGTAATATTCTATTCTTTAGTTATTTCCTCTCGTCCATCTATTCCTTTCCTCCCTTTTGGAACTAGTGTATTTGAATGTGAGGACTGCTGAATCTGTTCTCCAAGTCTCATATTTTCCTCATTATTTCCATCTCTTCATATTATTTGCTCTGTGCTTTTTGAAATATTGTTTCCACTTGTTCTTCCAAGCCACTAATTTGAGTCTCAGCTGTGACCATTCTCTCTTTCAATACGTACACTGATTTTTAGTTGTTGTTGTTGTTGTTTAAAACAATGTTTTTTAGTTCCAGAAAAATTTGGGGGTTTTTGTTTTGGCACTCTACTTGACTCTCTTTAAGTGCTAATAGTTTCTTAAGTTGTCATATACCTCTTCCAGTGATTACTGTGCTTTCTAGTGGCCAGGGAAACAAGCTATAATAACCTCATCCCTGCAAGGGCAAGGCTCTGTGAGTCACACTGTACTGCTTTTCCCATGGTCCTGATCTCTGTTCAGGGGCTCTCCAAAGCTGGTCTGCACGGTGCAAGAGTGAGGAAGCTCCTCACCAGGGCTACGCACCAGATCTTCTTCCCTCTTAACCTAAAGTTCAAGCCTTCACTTGGCACCCT